GTTTAGTATTAAAAATAAAAAACACTATTTTTATAGGTTTTGCAATCGATTTTTGTGTTCATATAAAAGCAGACATTATATCATTACAATTATGACGAGAATCTATCGATCGGTTACTTGTATTTAAGCAATTGAGTGAAATATACACTTTTCTTGTAATTCTCGTCAACATAAACGCTAATAATCGTAAGTATATTATAATTATTCAGTGTTTATACATAATCTTTGAGTATATTTTAGGAATATTGTAAATAATAAGTGAAATAATGATTTCACAACATTGTCTAATTGATAGACAGAATAAACAAACTTAAAATTACATAAAAAGTCGATTATATTCATAATGGTAAGCGAAGGTTATGTAACTTATGTATGTATATAACAACGAGATTGAATAATTCAGGCAAACATTAAATTTGTAAACTATCTCAGTTAGTGGTGAGAATACCACAGAAATGATTGCAATAACACTGTTAATGACTTTCCCTATAAAAAACAATAATAAAATTCACTTTAATTCTGTTTAAAGGTTTTCCAAATGAGTGAACGAATGTAATGAAAACGAGAGGAAACATACACTGAATATAAATTTATTATATGATGTTATATAAAAGAGGAATAAATTTGAGCCAAAAACGAGATTCAAATATCTGTCAGTTATTTATATATTCGTGACAACAGTCTCACTGAGAGGTCGAATGAAGAATATGTGACATATAGTGATAAACAGTGATAGAGAGCACAATATTTCTCCTCATTTAAAGTCTTTCTTTCGCTTCTATAGTGCGAGTGTTTTTAGGCATAAGATTAAGTGATGCGAGACTTTGTGATATATACACAGTTCTTACAGTTCTTTCAAACCAATAAAATTAAAAACTTTAATTTAATCTCAACCGAAGGCCAGACTTAGATGTGTTTCAAAGATAATAGTTTTATGTGAAATAAAAAGCGCTGACATTAGAGGTAAGGCTCACAAAAAGTCTGAGCATTAATTGTTGTGGCATTCAGTCCACTATCTCTCTCCCAATGCGGGCGTCTTTCGTGCGTGAATTCAATACAAAGAATACATATTAATGTAAATATTGTCGACAATAGCAGTGAAATACTCTTTTCAATTTCCAGGATATACAGACCCAACGCTCATAACTTCCCCCAGAGTTGTCAGTTCCACAGGTTTGGGCACCGACTCTAACATCGCTCAACATTACTGCACGTAACACAACAGTACTCTACAGTAACTGAACTTTTTTTCTACTTTTGTCGGTCTATTGTATCGCATCCCTAAACCCCAGCCCAACAAAGAGTGCTTTAACTCCTCTCCACTTCTCTCTCCATCTCTAATCACTACACGTGAAGAAAAAGTGGGCCTTAAGTCACCATCCGTTTCACGTATACCACAGATGTTCTCTCGCTTTAAAAGTTTGTGAGCTTTAAATTTTGTAGTCATCTCTCAAGAAATCGCAACAATTCAAGAGATTTGCTCTCAATTAAGACAATGATTGCCAATAGAGTGATCTCGAAGTTTGTTCTGCCATACGATACCTCTTCGACGCCATATAATAATTCAGACTTTGATCCCGAAGTTTACGATCTCTGTCAGCAGGAGTTGGGATCAAATCATTTACGAGTTGCCAAATGCATTGTCGTCGGAGATATTGCCGTCGGAAAGACTTGCCTTATAAACCGATTCGGATATAATGTTTACGCCAATAACTATAAGGCAACCATTGGTGTGGACTTCGATGTCCAGAAGTTTGAGATATTGAACACACCATTCAGTCTACAAGTAAGCCATAAATTGATTACTTCAGTACTTTTTCCTTATCTATTGCTTAGATATTCAATATTTTTGCTATCGAGACCTCAATTCATAAACTTCTATATCATTAAAATTCAATGAAAAAAGACATCAATGAATAAAAGTCTTTGTTTTCTTAGAACTTCTTTCAACATATAATTATTCATTAAAATCATAGCTTTTTTAATTCATTAAATGTCAAAAACTGGATCTCTATGCCATTGAAAGTAAAAAAGACTAGTTTTGAGACAACATTTCAATTAAAGTCAAATTTAGATCATTTCTAATGAATGCAAAACTCGTTTTCACTTTCTTTCATACAATATCTTCCATTCTTTTAAAATCTTAAACAAAGGTTTTTAACATTTCAATACTCATGAAATAAAAGCGAACATTTTTTAAAATACATTCTCTAAATAACAATTCAGTAACATTTATATTGTTTTGTTTTCAATAATAACCAGTTATGGGATACTGCGGGTCAGGAGAGATTTAAATGTATAACAACCACATACTATCGGGGGTCGCATTGCNCTGTCCAGAACTCGGCCTCCAATCGGTTGGCAATCTTCGCGGCCTCTGAAGCGACGAACTGAGCCGCGCCTTCGTTTAACAGATCTCTTTTGGTTCCGACCAAAAACAGCAGCGGTTTGTCTGATCGTGAGTTGGCTTCCAGTACTTCTTCCAGCCATTTCTCGACACTCAATAGGGACGACATGTTTGACAAATCAAACACTATGACCGCGCAATGCGACCCCCGATAGTATGTGGTTGTTATACATTTAAATCTCTCCTGACCCGCAGTATCCCATAACTGGTTATTATTGAAAACAAAACAATATAAATGTTACTGAATTGTTATTTAGAGAATGTATTTTAAAAAATGTTCGCTTTTATTTCATGAGTATTGAAATGTTAAAAACCTTTGTTTAAGATTTTAAAAGAATGGAAGATATTGTATGAAAGAAAGTGAAAACGAGTTTTGCATTCATTAGAAATGATCTAAATTTGACTTTAATTGAAATGTTGTCTCAAAACTAGTCTTTTTTACTTTCAATGGCATAGAGATCCAGTTTTTGACATTTAATGAATTAAAAAAGCTATGATTTTAATGAATAATTATATGTTGAAAGAAGTTCTAAGAAAACAAAGACTTTTATTCATTGATGTCTTTTTTCATTGAATTTTAATGATATAGAAGTTTATGAATTGAGGTCTCGATAGCAAAAATATTGAATATCTAAGCAATAGATAAGGAAAAAGTACTGAAGTAATCAATTTATGGCTTACTTGTAGACTGAATGGTGTGTTCAATATCTCAAACTTCTGGACATCGAAGTCCACACCAATGGTTGCCTTATAGTTATTGGCGTAAACATTATATCCGAATCGGTTTATAAGGCAAGTTTTTCCGACGGCAATATCTCCGACGACAATGCATTTGGCAACTCGTAAATGATTTGATCCCAACTCCTGCTGACAGAGATCGTAAACTTCGGGATCAAAGTCTGAATTATTATATGGCGTCGAAGAGGTATCGTATGGCAGAACAAACTTCGAGATCACTCTATTGGCAATCATTGTCTTAATTGATGACAAATCTCTTGAATTGCTGCGATTTCTTGAGAGATGACTACAAAATTTAAAGCTCACAAACTTTTAAATGGAGAGAACATCTGTGGTATACGTGAAACGGATGGTGACTTAAGGCCCACTTTTTCTTCACGTGTAGTGATTAGTGATGGAGAGAGAAGTGGAGAGGAGTTAAAGCACTCTTTGTTGGGCTGGGGTTTAGGGATGCGATACAATAGACCGACAAAAGTAGAAAAAAGTTCAGTTACTGTACTGTTGTGTTACGTGCAGTAATGTTGAGCGATGTTAGAGTCGGTGCCCAAACCTGTGGAACTGACAACTCTGAGGGAAGTTATGAGCGTTGGGTCTGTATATCCTGGAAATTGAAAAGAGTATTTCACTGCTATTGTCGACAATATTTACATTAATATGTATTCTTTGTATTGAATTCACGCACGAAAGACGCCCGCATT